GTGTTTATATTTCCCGCCGCGTCAAGTGGCTCAATCACTCAAAGCGGCTTGTTTAGGCCTGGAATTCCGAACACGACATATACGGATGAGGGGTTCTGTAGACAAACAAGAAGGGCTTACTTCAGCTGTCACGAAGGCTCGACATCTTTTTCAGGGAATTCAGGAGGACTTCTCATAGAAAACCTTCAGAGATCCTCCCTTGATTCTCCGTAATCACGCTTGTTAGGAAGGGATCGGAAGCCAGGTGCCAGTAGCCAAGCAAGTACCTTCACGTTCTCGAAGGCGATTCGAATGCACGGCTCATCCCGGAAACAATGATCAACTTAATTAGTTTGTCTTTACTGTGTTCTGCACTGAAGACTTGGTTTGCAAGAGTACTCATGAGTTTTCGGTACTTGATCAATCGATTGATCAACTAAGCCCATAGCTTTTCTTGTAGTAGATTTCATGGTTAAAGTGGACTTCATCTAGGTGTTTTTGCTTGTTTTTTTTTCTATAAAATGATTCAATTATTAGTTTTTATGGACCCTGTGTTGCCTATTGTTATAGCGAGGGTGCAGAAGGGTGGAGCGGGCGTCTCGTGTTACCCTGTCCCAGGACTCGTCGTTACACACCATAGAGGTGTCTCGACTTTCCGATGTAACCGACCTCGGGACCTTTCTCCGAGAAATTCCGTTAACCTCCAGCTGGTCCCTAATGGGTTCTCGGAACTATCTTAACGGGTCACAACATCTGGTCTTCGGCTAACTACCAAACTCATTGAGATAAAATGGGGTCATCAAGTTCACGATTAATGGCATTACATCCAAAGGTGTGCGTCAGCATTGGTCAGGGTGGGAACACAGGAAGAAGGAAAAGCCATTGAGGTGATGGCGTTAGACGGAGGTAATAATTATTCTGCTTGATTTGATGTGAGGGAATTGCCTAACGATCCAGAAAATTCGAGAAATCAAGCAGAAACCCTGAGAACGGATTCAAAACTGGACTTTCCTTTTTTGGAAAGAAAAATCTGAGTTGACGGCCTGCATGTGCGAAAATGAGCCTTTTCAGTCGCTGAAGTGGTCGTCCTATACGCGTTACATCTAAGGGACGACTTGGGGGAGAACCGCATGGATCTTCAGTGGAAAGATCTACAAAGAAAGGGAGCAGTATTACTACTTTGGTCCCTGGATCGGATCCTGCTTGAACCCATCGTCTTCTATAAGTCCACAGATTCCTAACCACTGTTAGATTGATCTGGGAATATGAAAACAATGACTACAACTCTACACTCACTGATGAGGAACCGCTGAGCAGGACAGGCTTGTGAATTCTTGGTTATTCAGAGACAGGGACAAATGCATGGCGTATTCCACTAATATGAGTTATACCGAACGACTCTTTCCCTTTCAATAAACTCCACCATGAGTTTTCTTTTTCGGAAATGTGGGGAATGGGTGTGTTAGGTTCTACGACTAATCTCCTGTCTTCTGAGTTCGGACTTTTCTCACGATGGCACCCTTCTACCGACAGTTTCACCCTCAAATGGTCTAGTGAAGGCAGATGAAGGGATAGCCGGCACGGGAACATAAATCTCTGCTAATGGAAGTACATCTAGGCTGTCTTACCTGAAATAAATGGCTCTAACTGCTGACATTACACTTTTTTGTGGTCAGCCACGTCGTAGTGGAATACCTGGCTTGGCAACTGTTCTAACACAGCCGTCGTTCTTAATCGCCAATTCGTCATCCTCATACATCTTCTTCAAGATCTGCATGACATTTCAACATCACAATTTGTGCCACCACACGTGCCATGGTGTTCTGTCAAAAAACAAAGCAACACGTGGAGCAAGTAGGTTCCGCTAATGAACTGGATATGAATTGATTTTTTTGTTGGACTTGCTGAATCAGAGCTTTGTCTACCTATCCGAAGGCTGCGGGTGCCTAGTCTTGAGTTTAGCCAACTGATTAGGCTAATTGTAAGACTGGACTAGAACCCGGACCCGTAGGTGAGCGAGCAGTTGGAAAGGACATGTAAAGAATAAACAGCTTCGAATCAAAGAAATTTGTCTACGAACGGATTATTTTCGAATCGAAAATAGGTCCTAAGCTGTTTGCTCAACTTGCCGATTTAATTTGGTCAGTAGCTTAGCAATCACTGTGGTCCTTACCCAGTGGTTAATGGGTTTGGCCAGCACGGAGTAGACCAGTTCACCGTTCTCGGGTTTTGGACCTCTTTGATAGGCTATTTGGCCAGGATTACGCAGGATGAAAGTTTCAACTCAAATAGGTCCATTTGATTCATGAATGCTTATTGATTCTATTATTCATAGGTATCGATTTGGTGTCCAAACCAGAATGAACTGCTTTACTGAGATTAATTTTGCAATTCATCTACACTTTGATTCTGCTATCCTATTTAGCCCTTAACAGGACTGCCTTCACGAAAAAAGGCTCCGTCTTCTCAGCTTAATAGGGGCTAGTTTGAGCAGTTCTAATAGGGGCTAATTTTATTTCTTTATTTTTGGTTCTGTTCGTCAAATATCAGCTTCTAGGCAAATTTTGAACGACCTCGAAAGGGAAGTAAGGGAAGGTATAGCTCTTGGGTATACCACACAGGTCCCTGGATTACATCCTGGACCCGTTTTTGTTTAGACAAATTCACACTTTCTTTTTCCTCATTGTCAGCTAATTATCAAATAATTTGTTTAAAAATTTAAAAAATGGATCATCATTGTTTGCTCTAAAAGTCATTGTAAACACTGAGATAATGCCAAAATGATAATTTGAATGGGATTCGAATGCGTGGCGTATCGTGAAAAAAATCGAGACCCGTCTAGATCTTCTTTTCTCAGGTCACAGAGACATCTTCCATTGACAACTTACTAGTTGGTCTTCCGTGTCTGACCTGAACAGCGATCTGCAAATTTCCTGATTTTCAGGGTCCACCAAACCCGGCCGAAGCCGAGCTGAACATTCACGAACATATGCAAAATCTGTTTGTCAACTCATCAGCTCGTCAAAATAACATGGCCAAACTGCCCAGTACGAGTTACCGTGCCGATGGTCAGATGACTGACGCCTACTGGCTAAACGGTAAGTAAATGTCAGGTTTGGGTATGAAAAAGTTCCAAGGCGTCCTTCAGTTTTCCATTTTTGCACTTGGCGACTTGTCCTTCGGTTTTTTACCATGTTATCTTTCATCTTGCTGTCCCATTCGCCTTGAGCGAGTAGATTCCATCGCTCTCATTTTCTTTCTGCTCTTTTCAAATTTCATTGATTTCTCCTACTTATTGATTTTCGTAAATCTTTCGCTTACAAGATTTTTTGTTTTTTTTTTTCTCAAAGTGAACACAGAGGTAGAGAGTCATATGTAAGTGCCAGCAAGGAACGGTATGGGAATAACGTGGATTTGCAGCTTCTCACAGGCAGGACCTACACAAACCCCATCCAAATGCTCCATCTGACGCTCACAAACCAGTTCCCATCTCAACCCCAAATCAGCTGGATTAGGCTTTGGGTTAAATTGGGAACTTGTGTGTTAATGCTGAAATCCAGAAAGGGTAGTATTCGGGTGGAGAATCCTAGTAAAGTGGCCAAATGGAAATGAAATGAAGGTTCGAGGAGGGCTCATGTACAGCCAGGAAGAGGAGTGTTGGGCCATTTGTTCCCCGACCCCACTTTCGATTCCTCTCAGAATGGCGCTAAAGAAAATGGGTCCTAAACCTGACCATTGATCCAGTAGTCTCCCTCAAACCCAACCCAGATTTCATGTGTAGGAATTTTCGGTGTCGATGTTTTTCTGTTTGGCTGGTTCTCCTCATTTACCGAACTTTCTCCATCATAAGCTAACAAACTTTTACTTTTCAACGTTTTGTCCCAATGGGGGACTGGCCCATGCAGTGCAAATCGTAAGCTTTCAGTGTAAGGTTCGTTCGGCGTTTCAGCGTATTGTCTTGCGATTGTGTTGGTTTGTGCGCGAGGTGTGCAAACAGTTTGGAGCGGTGAAAAGCCACTCGTTCATTGTACACGAGAAATTACGCGAGCGTTGTTCCCACCTCGAAACTGTGAGGGCCGGACCGTTCCCTGCGGAAAAGCCGTTTATTCTGACCGGGGACCAACAGGAAATCGTGATGCTGCCCGATTCCTCAAAATACGGCTTGCATTTTAACAGTATACACACTATACATAAAAGGAGAAGAATGTTTACTGTTTATAGAAATCATAAATCTGAAACCATGTTCAGTGTTAATTCCACTCGCAGAAGAAAGGGTTCATCCAAAATCACTGCAAAGTGGAGGAAAGCTCAGTTTGGGCGAGTGTTCCATCTTAAAACTTCTACATAATGCTCTCCTATAAGGAGTATAAAGAGTCTTTATTACTTTGAAGTTTACATCCAACTAGAAGACACCTCTAGCATGCTCAATAGCTATCTTTTCACTATTGTTGGCACAACCTCCTCTACAGTAGAGCGACTGGTTCTACGAGCATCCTACTCGGGACTCAGGATAGAGGAGAGCCAAGATTTCGAATTGTTCGGAATCAAATGCTGGCTAGTGGCCCAATGGGCTCCAGAAACAGAATGCAATACTATTACAAGGACGACCTTGAGAAGAGTAGATGTGTGCCAAGCAAAAGAATGTTAGCCGTAGCCCCAGGTGTGATTCCCAATCAGCAAACAACGAAAGGGTAAAGGACAAAGTGTTTGCCGTTGATCATTCCCGTTTTTGAAAAGCGCCCCTGCTTTCATTCCTATGCAGAGTCGTAATGGTTGCATGATTGCCTAAACTGGTACAATAAACCGATCCAGCAGTGATGAAAGGTTTGGTTGGCTTGGGCGGATATCGATCCGGGATCTGAACTCGTAGCCATTCGGCCTGATAGTGCGCCATTTGCACTGAATCACCTTCGCCCAGTAAACAAACAACAAAGCCAGAAAAAACTTAACGAAAAAAAGTCAGTCAAACAGCAAGTCACTTCACTAAACTTTTGGGGATTGTTCATTCTCCTCTCAGTGGTCAGTTTCCATTTTAGATACCCATGCCGCACCTGATTCTTGGACTTGCTCGAAAACCAAGAAAAGCGCAACGGCTCCATCTGTCAAGTTCCTTGCCATCTATTTGTCTCTTCAAACCATTTATGGACTTTACCTTCAATTGATAGAGCTACAAAATATACCCTAGCCAACGTTGATTTTGCTCATGGGATATCTTTTGATGTAGCCTTTCTGAGATCGGAGAATGCCGTGTGCAAATGCAATTCTTTGTTGGGTTTAGTGTTGGTGCGCTTCGTTGGCCATCAATACACGAGGTAGCGAAACTTTTTTTATCAGTTCAAGGAATCCTTGACATGAATGCTATCATAAAAGCATCAGTAAACAATTTGGATTACTGTGAAAATTCTCTTTTCTTCAAATCTACAGTAATCAGTGGTAAGCGTAAAGGAATATGATCGATAAGACTGTACCACGTCCGCTCCGCCATGAATTCCCAATTGCTCCGATGTTCTTTTCAGGGTGAAAGGGGGCGAGTTTCAATCCAGTCTCTTCCACAGGTGTTTGGCCGAAAACACTGCTCCCTCCTGTTAACACCGGAGACTTGCTCCAAAACCTGATTTGTCAACGGTGGCTGTTTTGTTTTGTTTTTTATTTGTTTGTCCAGTAGGTGAACGTCTGCCCTGCTATTTCCGCAGCGATTTGAGTGTTGTCGGTTTTTTGAATCGGAAAACCGGCCTAGACAGAAATTTCTTCCCAAAAAACAGCGATTTGACCATAAGCTGGGATTAACTGCCAGAAGGGCTTGTTCTGAGCCACTTAAATGAATAGATCATCCTTTATCGATGCAATAACGGTCGGATTAAGGCGGTTCTGCCGACCATTGCAGTTTGTAACCCGAGGCGTATGCTTTCGGGATGGTTTCAGCGATAGTTGGCAGTCAGAATCAATCTTACGTCGTGGGATCCGAGATAGGGACGGTGTACTTACTTAATTGGGAAAGGATGCTTCAGAAAGTTGTGAGCGTCCAATGTTGTGGCAAGGGTTTCGTGAATTTCAGTCTCAATTGCAGATGAAGTTCGCACCCTTTGCTTGCCTGTCCCTATCCCTCTCGGCCGGTAATTTTTTTTTTCTCAAAGGCAGTTGAAAGTAGAATGGGGGCATAATTCGGAAGAAAACCTTAGGGAACTGTACTGACTAAGCCTTCCAGGATCGCATGATTTTCCCAGTCGATGCTCCATGAGGGCACAGTGTCCGAGGTTGAGGCTCATCGTTGCCTTTCTAGGTTAACTATGTTTTACTAATGTTTTACTAACTTTGCGAAAGATGGTAATTTTGTGATTTTGTATGGATATTGGCAAACCTCTCATGAAAATACTAAGAAGGCAGCCATTGAATTGTCTATGGGGACGAGTACATATAGGACAAAAAGATAAACTCCAGTGCGTCTCTTTGAAGATTACCTTTAATGGCTCTTGGGAGAACGCAAGTAATCGGGAAGAAGCAGAGAATTAGTAGTTCCGTAGGCGTTTCCCTCAGAAACGGGAATTGAATCTCAGCATGGAACTGGGATGAGCAATTCCCGTCCCGAGATCTGTCGAGGACTGCTAAGTCTCCCTTCTTTTCGGGGTATAAAACCGGTGTCAGGCTCATGGTAGTGACCGTTATAGGTAACATTCATTGTAGAGGCCGACCAGGTGCTCGAAAAAACCTCGCGATTCTGAATGCTATAGTCTATCATCGGTCTATGTCATTGCCGCATGTTGGGAAGTAATTTACTGGTATTGTTCGCTTTCTCCATTTCGGGGCCGCGACATATTTATGTAGGTGATGGCGGGGGGCAGGCAACTGAGCAGCTCCGTTACCCGATCTTTTCGGTTTTCACTTTATAAGGGCTTCTGTCTCCAAAGTCTGAAGTAGCTTGCTTTCGTTGGATCGACCAGGGCTCGTTCCCCAAGAATTTCCTTCAGAGGGCACTATTTCGTTCGAATTATTCGGAACTACCATATCATGAGCGAGAGGTTTACTGCAATGGCCTTATGTTGGAAAAAACGAATGACTGATGAACGTCACAATGGAGGAGAGCCAAGGCTGATTCAAAATTCCTCATGCCATTCATCATAGCCATACGGCATGCTACCAAAATAGATACGAAGGATGTCATGCAATCAACAAAGAAGGGAAAAAACCGAACATGCAAAACCAGCCTCATGTTCGATCTTTTTCCCTTTTTCTCGGAATAGATTACAGGTTCGGGGTGATGAACAGTCACGAAAGTGCCACCCAAAGGCGGCTTGTGGTGATTAATGCGGCTCAGCATTACTCAGTGCTTCTTAACGGAGCCACTCCCCATGCTGGTTTACTGTCATCTGAGAATGAGCCGAAAGAAGAATTTGACGCCATAATTGAACTGATCTTGGGTCATATTTGAGCCCATTATTAAGAAGGAATCCACCACACAGATGGATGTAATGTAGTGCTAAATGGGGCACCAAATCCGACGCACGATCAGTGGGTAGAACTGTTGATCGATGCTTCTCCAGACTAATCAGGCTTTCCACCCTTCCAGGGTCGGTTAGTTGCTTCCAGAGGGATCTCAGAAGGTAAAAGTACTGACTCGTACATCAGATGATCACCTTGAGTCACTGTATAGGCCACATACGCATCTAAATACCACTACGATACCCGGACGAAATTCGATTGCAGGGCGCATCCCAAAAACGAGATTGATCAACGCCAAAGTCTTTATACTTCATCATTAAAGGCATTATTTCTAATTTCCTTTTATTGCCCCTTACACTTGACTGGGCAATTCCCCTTAAGACCTGATTCAGCCGGCCTACTGAAAAATTCTCAGACAGCATGTAACTTGATAGGCGGTGTTTTCGTTGAAATACAAGATCTAGGAACAAGAAAGAAGAAAAAATGCAGCAAAAAATGAAGGAAAGCTACAAGGGAAACTGTAAAAGCAGCAGAACAATGATAAGTAAAAATAAATGGTGATAAATAGGAGCGGACCTCTTTGGAGAAATAACTGCTTCTGAATGGAAATGAGCTACTACGAAAGAATCAGTGATATCTTTGACAAAGGTGAGATACCAACGAGCACGAAGTTGTTCTACTTTTGGTGATTTTAGCAACTGCACTGAGGCCAACTTCCCAAATGGCGGGTGTTCTCCATATTTACCTCAAACGATAACCTACTTGGCAGCTTTACATCCATTTCAGAATCGCCAAACATAGACCAAGATTTCTGATGAATCCGTCCTTGAAAATCCGGCACATGAATAGCTGATCAATTACAGCACCCGAGGAAATCGGTGGATGTGGCTCTATCGGCTAGAACAGCTTTGAATCTCTCATATAATGATTAATTGGTATGTGATTCATCTGAGAGGGCTGCTATAAACCCAGGCTAGCCTCCTTGAGTCGTCCGCTTTACCATACATCTCCTTCTATCCCTCTATCATCAATCTACTAGCCTAAATGGATGTCCAATGTATGACACTCGAGGGAGTGATGAAAACTGAGAAGCTGGGAATCCTTCAGTTGTCAGGCTTGGATGGGCTTTTAGCGCTCCGTTTTTCTGCTGCGCCTTTCTCCATCTCTACATAGAGCCCATTCGTTTTGTACTCAAGGGCGAATTGGAAATCAGAAAAACCATGTTTTCACGAAGGGTTTCAAATGAGCTCCTCCTTTAAGATGCCATAGAGAGGATAGCTCTATGTTCTGCCCTCCAAGAGACTTGGCGTTCTTCTCTCGGAATTCAGCCTGGCGATTCGCCTTTGTATTCTATGACGTTGTTGTCCTTTTTGTTTATCTAACTACTATTTTCTTGTTTGCTTTGTTTACTTTCATTACTTTCCAAAGACTGAGGAAGGCGACAGCGTCTATACATATACCACCACAATACCCAGCTGTCTTCCGTTTTTGTGCCCTTTCCGTAATCGGTCTGGGATAACACCCTGTTGGACTATTTGCCTACTTGCAATACTGACTGGTGTTTTACCTTCCATGATGGGTTTCGTCTTCCCAGACCCTGAAGAAGGCTTCTACACTGAAGGGCCAGCCGAAGTGGCCGTTTTGTCGATTCCGCCGGCGAATTAATTACTGAATTACTGTAGTCCCAGTTAGAACCGGAAGAAAAATGTGGAGGGCCATTAAAGTCGTCTCGAGGCATCACTGTAGAAAAAGCTCTCAAAATGAGCGCAAATCAATCTTCTCTCTGTTCAACACTCTCTAGCTCTTCTTTCAATCCACAGGCTTCCCTAGTGATTGATACTGAGTCACTTTTTATGGTTGCAGCTTGCAGAGGCTTCCAATCCTCATAAGAAGGCTGTGCCCGTCTAAGGCTTCTTTCATCCCGAACCACTTGGTTGCTCCGGTTTAATCTGAAAAATAGAATTTCAAAGGTATATTCTCTGAGTAGAAGTCACGTCAAAATTTTCATTACTGCATCTGTCAACAGCTCATGATAAATCATCGGTTATAATCGGCTGAAAACGGCTAGTCGACCTAATTCAATCTCGACAACGTTCCACGGAAAACCATTACGATCAATCAGCTCGTTTTAGCAATCCGATTTGTTTTACATCCTTTCAAAAGTTTCCTTGTATCTCAACTTTCAGCTTTGCTTTTTTTTTTCTAAGCCACTTGAATTAGACGAGATATGGGTAGGAGGCATTTGGTAGTCATTCGGAAGCCTATTGTGCCTATTCAAACAGCTCTATTATTCTGAGCGGAAATCGAGTATATGGCACATTCAAGCGGCTCATTTAATTGCATGAATTTCTTTTCACCTCCGAGTTCTTGAAAGGAATATCCTCCCTCCATTATCTTCTATCCTTTTATCCTCAAAATCCTCAAAATATTCCTCTCCCTTCATATCTATAAAACAGTGCTTAATTACCATTCAATTCACCTCGTGATCCATTTAATGACAAACTTGATTATGATCTAATCAGCTGTTTTCATTTTTCAGATATCCCTTTTGATCGTCGGTCGAATAATTCGACAATTTCATTGCTGAACACTTCAAATCGATTCGCCCGGAATGGAACAGGTAGGAGACGTAATCATTCAGAAGGATTTCGGTTTTTTACAAGATTAATCGCAATAGCTAAGTTTGGTAGAGGCTTCAGGATACAGCCTTATCGCTCAGTCCTAATGATTCTGTCGCTATGATTTGATGGAATCTTACATATTTTTTAGATTTATATAACCATTATTATTCTCACTTAGAATGGTATAACTATTACTATTTAGAGTTCGTTAAGACTAAGTGTAGTTAAAGTATTACTTGTAAGCATACGTTTTTCATTGGAAGTAATGGGTGAAAATGTAGTTGGGAAAAGGGAGTGGGGGGAAGGAACCGCTTTTACCCAACTCACCTAGATTGAGTGCTAGACTTCACCCATAATCTGTGAGTGATAATGTCAAGGATCGCATAAGCCTCGACCCATAGCTAATGAATCCTTTTTCCAAGCTATTCCGTCTAAAAATAGCTACAATGAGCCAGTAGCAATGGCTGAACTGAGTGAGTTTTATGATCCCGGTGAAAAAGTAGTTGAAGGGGCCACCGCTCTTCTCAAACATTGAGCGTTAGAGCGCAAAAAAGGAAGGGTTGCTGACCTTACTTGGGCGAAGAGACGGTTCTTACTTAGCAGAGTATTGTAGTTTCTACTTAGGTCTTAGTATGGGAGGAGCACCGGGGTGAGTGAGGTGATTGTCTCGTGCAAAAAGCTGGGATAGCGAAGGATTGCACATTCACTTGATTCACCCACTTCGCTGCTCCTTCCCTCCTGAGACTTAGTTGGAAGAACTATATTTTCCCGGCTAAGGGACGTTTCTGAGCACCATTATGAGCACGCGAAGTCGGCTACCCCTCCTTCTCTGCGAGATAGCGCTCAATGTTGGAAACGAGATGTGCCTCGTCCCAACTACATTTACACCAGGAATTCTTTGTTGGACAGTCGCTAAAGGGTTCGAGGGTCAGTATCATCCAGCGAACTTTTTTCTTTTTCTTCTACATGCTTCGTCGACCTTATTTCCCACCTCATCACCGAGTATTCCACAAATTTTTCGGGCACCTCCCATCTTTGCGGTTCTACCCACAGAATTATCACTTTCGTATTGGGCTAATCAGTGAATTTCAGAAACATATTTATTCCATTCGCCCTAGTACTTCACTGTCTTACCCACACTCGGTCTCAGTTGCTTTCGTGATCATTAGGAAAAAGCGACCCATTACACACCGTTTTATGACCATCATCCTGCAGTCGTTATGCATAGTGAAATCCGGAGATTTACTAAGAAACTCTTACCATGCGTGTACGATTCCGTTCCTGTTATTTCTATTTTTAAAATGGAACTAGTCAGGTGTGAGGTTCTGAGAAGTTTTTACTGGGAAAAGTCTGGAGATTCATATTGATCATTAATATTTTTTCGAAGGAAGGCGGCTGCATAAAACCTCAGGGTGCAGTGAAGATGCAAAGCGACGTGGTCATCTATCGTGGAATCTATTTCTTTGCAAAACTGGCATAGCCCCTCCTCTATACGTTAAACCCATGAAATATGACTTCTGGATTCCTATTCTATACCTCCTCCCGTCTTTTTCGTCATTCTTGCAAATATCTTACGAGCCACTGGTGATATGGCTTATACCACTTACTCGTGATCATAAATGGGAGTCATTTTTTCCGGGACCCGATCCATCGTTTCCGTTGATTGTCGAATTTTTGGCTCTCTAATAGGAGGTATCAATGCCCCTCTGAAGGCCATTAAACTTCGAAACATTGAAAGGCATGTCTTGTTCTTCTTTCTCTTCTTCAGCTTCTATTCAACTTAGAAGCGTAGTCCACTTTTCTGTTGATGGACGCTACTTTTTCCGAATGGATGTTCGGTCGCGATGAAAGGCATACCAGCGTTGACAAATGGTAGCCAAGGGATACAAAAACCGATAAATTTCTGCATTTTTGCAGATTCACAACAGCTTCAACCGTATTCATTGTATTGCTATATATCGGTCCCGATCATCGGTGTAATGAAGCACACATAACGAAACGTTGCTGAGATACTGATTGCGTCTACCCGAGCTGCAGATTTCAAAAAAAAAATGGTGGACGAAAAACTTCTTCTTTGCCACATATGTTTTATGGGATCCAATTGGGCTACAACGCACTCGAAGTTATCCCCAAAAACTGCTGGGATCCTGATGTTGCCTCCCGTAGCACATTGGTGGAATGGTTTGATTGGTTACGCTCTGGCGATTACGACTTAGAGTCTGGGTCCATCAAAAAGGCCTGAACAGGCTGTGATATCAGATCTGTCCAGTAAGAAAATCATGCTGTACGTCTGGTTTGCGGAGCATGCCGCTGGGAACTCCTCCATTCCAAGGTTACGAGCAAGGTATGCTGTAGTCAGACCTTATCAGAAACACTCCAGTTGACCTCTCCGGAGCTCGACACGAGCTCCATGACATTGCAAGACCACATGCCTCAACGACGCACAACTTGAGATCTTGAGGCTCGGCTGAGAAATTCTTCCTAGCCTCTGTACAACTCCTATCTAGCCCCTTCCAACTACCAACTAATCCTGTCCCTCAGCAGCCATCTTGCGGGCAGAAATACGATTTCCCGGAAGACTTTGGAAGAGACCTCAATTATTTCCCAGCTCAAAACGGCAGAACTTCAGGAAGGCGTCTACTCTCTACTTACGTTGGCAACACGGTCTCGATAGTGACGGTGCATATGCTATGCGTTTGTGTTGTGTTGATATTGCATTTTTTTTGTAAGGAGATCAAATCAAAAAAGAGTTGGAGTACGCTCGAACTTTGAGGCAAACTTATGTCCTCCCAAACGGATCTGATACCATCTGACCGACCCCTTGCGGGATGTAGGGCTCGGTTGCAGTATCGAGCGGGATTCAAACCGCGGACTATACGTATGTGACACTTGTTACATAGCTGTATGTATTAGGTGTGATTCATGACTTTCGGAGTATGAAGCAGTGCAGGAATTACGGTAAAAAAAGTCTGAAACAATGGTAGAATTACGGTATAACTTTTAGCCCATAGTGAACTTATGTTCATGTGAACGATTTTCCTTTTGATGATAAGTGCTCGTCAACTCATTTCGGTTTTTGTAGGGTTTTCGTTGAAATTATGCACTTCAATCAGTCGTAGAATCTGAAGAGGCGAATGCTCGCCTCGTGGGCAGTCTATTATCCCATTTCTACAAGTGCAGGGCACTTTCAATTCATTTTTTACATGTAGCGCGCTACCTCGACTCATTTACATACTCGAATCCAAAGTTAGGTAAACAGGAAAGAAAAAGTTTAAAAAAAAAGGGACATTGCCGATGCCGGCTCATTTTATGAGTGCTGGGTACCGAACGAAATAATTTCTTGGTGATTTCCGGATTTCAATATTCCTTTAAAACACTTAGGTAAACCCGAAGGTTCCCAAACTGTTAACATTGTTTGTTTATTTGAATTTTTGAGCAATATACGTCCTCTCTATCCGGCTACATAGGCGAGAATTTACTGTCTCTAACCAGACTCACAGAGAAGCTTCTGATTCGCTGGGGTCGCAAGTTCACGTCAGGGAGAAATTTTGGAAAACCACTTTTATCATAAACTGTCCCTTGAACCATGCTGATTTTACATCACTGTTAAAGTTAAGTTAAGTTAAAGTTAAATTGTTATATTACGTTTTTATAATGAGTAAGGGGAACAAAAGCGGGTTCGAAGATTCAGGAGATACCTGAGATTTCTCGGGAATGGGAACTTTTTTCTTCGAGGAAGGGAATCCTAGGTAACAATGGAAACCGAGTTAGATGAGAAAGCAGTACATGGAACTTAAAGTCCAATCATTGCGACCAAAGAAGTGGTGAAGACGCTTGGAATAGCCTTTTCATACTATATTTTTTGGTTGTATAAAGTCACCATGTCGACCTGGTTCGTCAAGCACATACTACATATATTCCCTGAGTCGTCGCTTCAGCAGGACCTGAATCCTCCCAAACATTTTTGCTTTTCTTTTCTTTTTTTGGAAAATGACTCCATCGATTTTCCAGTCCACTATGAAGAATGTTCGAAAAGTCATTCATATGCACTTTCACTACTGTAAGTGTTTATTGCCCCATCTTAGCTTGTTCTTACTGCTTCATCATCGTTTCATAAGAAAACTGGTTCTTCAGCGAGGTGCTCCTCTACAACTTCACCACTCTTCATTACTTATACGTTTCACTTCTTTTTAGTTGGTAATTTCCACGCAGTTTTGGAGAGCTGGTGCTGTTTCCATTGCTATAGCTCATCATCCATGAAATGGCTTAACTGGTCCTGAAGGGGTGTCAGAGTAGTAAGACATCTGGTCAGATACGCCGTAGATTGGTTTCCATTGTTTCTTAGGCTTGGAAGAAGGCCAAATACCCAAAAAACGATAGCCGACCGAATTGTCCGAATCCGAAAAAAAACACACGACCAAACCCCGTGTGCTGTTAAATCAAATATTTTCGTACTGTAACATGCCGAAATTCATCAAGGGTCGAACTTAGCGGCTATCGTTAGGGTAGAGTATAGCGTGCTATGCTCGGGAAGCATAAATGCAAGTTCAAATCTTGTCGATACGCTGACCAATGGAGTTATCGGCCCCAAACTTCTACTCGCGTTCTACTTTATCAATGTTCACATTTATCATCACTTGATCCAGTCATATTGATAGGAACCCTTGTAAATAAGTGGAGGAAAAGATTATCGGGGTTCAGTCTTAGCCACAGTTTTGGATTTAGGTTGAAGTTCGAGAGCATTATTCGACTTTACTCGGGGAAAATTTTAAATCTGCCCACTAAACTTTTTATTGACTCAAAAAAAAGTAGGCTGGTGTCCCATTAGACGGGATGGTTCGGCACCACGTGCTACATTGGCTAAGATGTATCCCTCAGAGTAGGGCGTTTTGCTCATAAGTACCTACTTGTATTTACGCTTCGTCAAAGGACGCCCCTCCAAGAGTGGCAAATTGTGGACGCCAGTTCGGCCTCGGACGGGACTCGAACGCGTACATGTGCTTTCCGGGCAACGAGCACATTACCCCTTGATCCACACGCTACCTAGAGCCTGCTTTTCCTCCGCCGGGTGTGTTCTGAAGTACATGACCTCCTGACCTCACTATTTATATTCAGGATAACCCGGCTAAACCTGCTTCAAGTTTTACTGTAGTAAAATGAGTCATACATTCAGCGATTCAATGTCTACTTTCATATGCTCAGTCTCTAAACTGCTAAATATCTGTCAATTGTGCTACAGTAATGCCAAATTCGTATCCAGATTGTGTTTACCTTTTCTGGGTCTATCTTTTTAACTAAGCCCCACTACTCATGATTATACCCATTACTCAAAAGCGGCTACGGTAGTAGAGCCATTCTCTCGTCTTTTGCTGCTTATTCTAGTAGTTTCACAATAGTATTTTGCAATTTATGTATTTCAGTAATGTCGATGTCATCTATACGGAAACGGTGTCCTGTTAACGGTATACAACGGAGTGTACCAGTTGATTCGGGAGTAAAACGGCTGGTAGTGGAGACGCGACTTCAACCATTGTTCGATCTAGACCAATTCTCATCAAAAGCCGACCTCGAAGAGGCTTTCATCGGTCGAGAATGGGCATTCAGGTAAATCACTCGAATCATGCTACTTGTTGGGTTCAATTGGAGTGCAAGCTGTGTTAGTGCGCAGTAATAATCAAAGTCGAGACGCTAACGCCCCCGCTAGAGTACTCTAACAGTCTCCGTCTCCTCTTTTGAAGCACTATTTCGTTTGCAGCCGCAGGTGATACTGGCTGCTTTCGCTGAGTTTAAACGGTGCTTTAGTAATTCTATGTCTTACATATACTACTTGTTCGTTTCGTTTTCTTTCCTTTGACTAGCCAGTGTGCATACGAAAGAATTCACTCCGCTTTCCTGCTTGCTGCTGTTTTTCTTTCTGTCGGCAGTCTTCTCTACCTTTTTCTTGTATCATAACATGCCAGACAGAAGCTTTTATATGCGAAGTTTATGTCAAGGCAAATGTCCTTTGCAAACGTTTCCATTATGTCATCAAAGAACTACCCCATTTCCACATTGCAGAGAGATCTATGAGGCTGCCGTTGTGGACAAGATTCCAGTGACAATTATCGAAGGACGTCGAGGATCCGGTAGAACGAGTATCATCAATCAGTTAATCCTGAACTCCTCCTTCTACTCAGCCAAGGTATCGACCGGTTTATCCGATACCGTTTTTCCGAGCTTTTAACTCTTTTATTGCACATTGAAAAGCCGTTGGGAGTATGAGAACTGGAACGAGTTCGGGAACTGCCAACCGTGAGCAGAACAGGGATGGGTGAAACTGTAGGAGTTTAGTGGTAGTGCTTATAGCCTTAGGAAAGTGAACTATGTATTTTAGAGGGGTTGATGATGAATTGGAACTAAAAACGATGGAAGTTCTCCCAGGAGTTGAGACAGGACAATTCCTATTTCAGACATCCGATACGATCGACTCTGGCTGTGTTCCTGACGGAGGTACTACTTGGAACTCAGCCAACTACGAATGGATGAGAGCTGTTGCCGCTCGTCTTGTCGCCTTTCACATCTGCGATATACAGAGCGTACGTTTTTTTGCTTCATTCGTATTTATACACCATTTACGCCCACAAAAGGGGCAGAGGGGGAGACGGGCGTTAGGAACGATTTTGGGTAATCGATTCGCCGCACGCGGCTCTCGCGGACCACTCATTCGCCGTTATTACAGCTCTNACAGCTCAATCGATATGCGATCATTATTTTATGCAAAATTCTACTATTAGTACTTTTGTTTTTGTGTTTCTTACCTGCTGCTGCATCTTGCTACGTTCGTTCGCGCGCGACGCCCCTCTCACCGCGACGCGACCATTTCGTTCCTAACGCACCACATCCGGGCAGAGGTGGTGTGTAGTGACAAGTGGCGCTCGCACTGTCTTGTACGTTGGGCGACCACCGCAAGTCATTGTATACACCGCATACCCATTCAATACGCCACTACGATTCTGAATGGAAGTCGAATGTGGCGGCGCATCCCTCTGACGGGAGTGATCAACAGCCAAAGATTTTATCCTTTATGCTTTATATGCCCACAACTTGGAGGTTTTTTGATGACGTGATGCCCAATATTTTTGAACACATGCAATATGCGTGGTGCGTCTCCAAGAAATGGAACGGGCCGGAAATGGGCATTTGCTAGTTTACCCGCACTCGATTACTATTCGAACTCCAGAGCTGACTTGGTAGAGAGCAAAGAATAGCCCTCGTCCCTCTTTCAAAGTTTCCGATGATTTTTCAATTTGTTTTACAGACCGAGTGTAGTATTTCAGTCATCATCCTGTTCAATACCGGAATTCGTTTGTAATCTTGGGGCATGGCTATCCAGGTCGCCTGTTCTGAAAAGTTATGCAGACATTCTCAATAAGGTCAGTTGTTCTAAAAAGATTTTTACCACGTACTAGTGAAGATAATTCTTACTTTTTTCGAACATTCTCAAACCATATCGTATGAACAATGAGAACTCTGTAACTATGTACAATAGTTACAGTGATCATTTTCAGAATGAAGACTTGGAGTCGTTATTGAATGTAGATAAATGCCTGAAGCACGATGCACTGTATGTATTCCGAAAGGCGATAGCTGAACCTTTATTGCAACTGAACTGTTTAGATCAGGTAATTTCCCACTATTTTCGGTATTTTTTGCTAATAATGACCGGAAAAAGTTGTAATGATCTTGTCAATAAACTTAAATAAGGGATCGGAGCATTTTCTTGTAATCTGTGAGTCTCTACTGGTTTTCGAGCAACTTCATTATGCATTTGTCGGTAGTAATGAAACCATATTACTGTAAGCGTTCTATGCCCGAATGAGGCGTGGCTTACGTTGAAAGAGGCGTGGCAGCCTACATGACGCTGGCTGTCACCAAGGAACTATGCACGCCCTATCACAAAATTTCTTTTCGAGCATCCTTTGCAATGCACTTTTTTGAAGTGATTGGGGCAAGGTTGTAAGATTCAAAGAAAAAGGACTAGATAACGGGTTTTCCAGGGCAGTCTAGTAATCGTTGTTGATGGCACAGATGAGGCGGAATTCCACCGAAGTGAGGATGGACGATCTATTGGTATGTTCATACATACTTTTCACTTACAAAAAAGTTCTGAGTATGAGAATAGTTTCTTCTTCGCTTCAATATCCTTCAAGTACATTCAATTGTTTTGATTTTCTGCTATTAACTTTTTTCAGGAACATTCATTTGCACATTGATCCCTCATCTACCTCCATGGGTCCGATTTATTGTCTCATGTAATCCGGAAAATTCGTCAATCTATGACGATATAATAACGAGAAGAATTCGATTAGGTGAATTTATGCTTTTATTTATGAGGATTTGGATAAAAGAAGCAAAATTGGCCTATGAGGCGAATGACTGGTCTTTTCAAAGCCACTCAATTCTTTTTGATGTCAAACCAAACTTACCTATTTTTTTGTTTGAAGTCATAGGGGTTTTGTTGGGTCATAGTGGGATTACTTTTCCGTGGTTGACGATACGTTGGTGTTTCGTACCACTGCGCCATGCTTTACTTCATGGATTCTTCTTGGATTTTGAAATCGAGATCAATTCAAAGGTGTACTTCTTTTGAATTGTTCCTAAAGTACGTAAATGTCTCTCCTGTGAATGAAATCGCATATCCTTGGGACCGAACTTTTGAAAAATATTCGAAATTTCAGACGACATCGCTTTGGATGAACGAGTGGTTCGCGACTGTCGAATGCTTGTTGAGTACCGATTATCTATGGAACCTGAGGTGAGCGACATTCTCTTCTACTTCATGCAAGTTTGATCATTTTTTTCTTCGCTCTCATTTTTCTACTCCTCGCCCTGAAATGGTTTTCCCGAAGCATGCAGTATTCTCTCTTGACAACTGTAGCTCGCATAATCTCGTAGCTCATAATTATTTGCAGCGTAACTTAGCGTCTCTTCTGGTTGTGCCATTCCTTTTCTGGTAAGTAAGTATTACCTATCGGCACTGAAACAATGTTAATGATTAAATCTAGTGGTACAGTCGGGAAATATAGCGAACTGAAGCTAGAAAGTGATTTTTTTTTTACTAAAAGTGCCTCTTTTCAGCGATGGTTACGCTAGTTAGTGAGGCTTTCAATTTATTCCTATTGCTCATCCCCGTGTGATGTCCCATTGTTTATCCAAATTCATTCTATGACTTATTTCACAAGTAGTATTGTATCCTGTAGTTTATTTTAAAGGATTTTTGTTTAAGTTGGAAAATCATCTTCTGTCGTGTTCTCGTCGATCCGTAATTGATCCTTTCGGTGATTTGGTCGATCGGATAGTATTTGCTGCAAATGGAAATATGCTCTACATTCGATTGTTGCTCCGGTAAGCAGACCTCAATCCTCATGAACTACAAAGTTCATTATCATCTTGATATGCGTTAATGAAGGAATATACAATTGGAATCACAAAAGGTCAAAAGCTGCTGGGTGAAGTGAAAGAGTAGAGGGCTTCCTCCTAAAGTGATTGGACTATCGGATCACGAATAAGGGGAATCCTGAGAACGGTGAGCAGACTTCGTAGCTCAGGGAAGCCATTTGCTCCCAGAGTGGAGAGTTCAGGCAGAATCGGTGGTTTTGATCGTTCGAGTATCTTTGTGCTTGAGAACTGAATAACTTCCCGCAGTCACATAGAATTCCAACTTATTCAACGCAGGATTCACTGGTGGAAATGTAGTTGGGGGGGGGGGGCCC